GGGGGGGGGGGGGGGGGGGTGCTTTTGTTCAATCCCGACCATTTCGCACTTATTGACAGCTGCAACCGTCGTCTCGTCGCGTCGTCGAGGGGCTCGATGTTCCGCCGGAATAATAATTTATTTCCTTTTTTTCTTGACCTTTTTTCAAGTATCACGAAATGCCGTCATGCTATTCTGCCGGGCTAGGGAAGAATGCCGTATGAACCTTCAGGCGTTGACAAATTTCCTTTGATAAAACACGAATTTCCGGGTGAAATGATGAATATTTTCCTTTCGATTTTTCGGATAATTTTGTACGCAATTTCACCTAAAGTTCCTGGAAATTTCAAAGAAAAATATTCATATCTTTACTCACAAATAAACATTTTATCGAAGTAAATTTGGCAACTCTCGAATGTTCATGCGGCGTTCTTCCTTAGCACGGCAGTGCTCTGCGGTGCTAAGGAAGAACGCTGTATGAACATTCAAGATTTGCCGAATTTACTTCGATAAAATGTTTATTTTTGAAGGATTTTATGAATATTTTCCCGTGATATTTTCAGGAAACTTAGGTGAAATTGCGTACAAAATTATTTGAAAAATCGAAAGGAAAATATCCATGATTTTACCAGGAAATTTGTGGTTTATCAAAGGAAATTTGGCAACGCCTAAAGGCTCATACGGCGTTCCTCCTTAGCACGGCAGTATTTAGACGAGCAGTTTTTCGCTGGGATCCTGTTTTGAGAATTTCCCTTTTTATGGTCGTATTCTTGGAGCCTTATTCTTAATTTTTCCTTAAGCGGTTCCTCTCCTTAGGAAAACCCATACGGTTTACATTGTGATTATAAGGGTGGTTAAAGTGATTCGTACCTACCAAAAATTACAAATACTTATTTCAATAAATTGTTTAATTAGGTTCGTACTTACCCTAAATTCTATTAAAATTACAGAAATTTCATTTTTTTTTATGCAGGGACATTCATTACCATCTCTCGCAGTGATCTATTACCGAAGTTATTCTTTTAAATTTTACCCGCAAATCATCAATATAATTGTCCTTTATAAGACTTGCTCAAACTTGCTCAAAAAGGTAAAATATCTTCGGAAATCAGGTGGAGGCAATGGCCCCTAGTTAGTAGTTAAGGGCTGATTATTGGAATTGATAGACAAAGCGATAGACAGAGAAGACATAGGGAGTATGAAGCGATCCTATGCGGGTTGAAATGAGTAGTTCCTATGGACTAAGGGAGAAAATGATGGACTAACTATAGGGTATCTGCAATCTGATCGCTGAAAATTTAACTGGCTATGTCGGCAAGATAAGACAAGACATGCGCCGTGTAATATATAGATTTTCGATTCTTGTCGTGCGGACATCAACTTCAACAAACAGGCTTCTGGTGGGTTGCCGTTAGTTAGTCTATTACCTCCGTTAACCATTGCAACCACCCCCTTTTACCGATACGATCCTTCCATATTCCTTTTGTCTTCTTTGTCTATAGCTATGTCTATCAATTCCAATATCATTCCGCTGGCTTCCCGATAGTGTTCGTAAGACTTGAATCATCAAAGAACCTCAATTTTGTTTAAAATTATATTTTATGAGCATGTATTTGTGTCTAGGCATCTCGATGATAAATTCTAAGCGTGAAAAAATAATATCTCTGTTACAGACGAGTATACGAAAATCAGCACCCCACGGCAGGACGTGTTGTTCAAGAAGGGTTACCTGGGACGACGAAGGGTACAGAACGTTGGACCGGAAACGCCCGTACAGGAGCATCACAGTCAAGGTAACCCTTCTACCCTGCAGGGCTGCAGGGCTTCAATCGATTTACTCCCCCCCCCCCCCCCCCCNGCTTCTTCACTTAAGCTCCAACCGCTTTGCACGAAGCTTTTTTATCGTTCGGAATTTCGCATGGGGGAAAAAAATAACTGGTTATGAGGGAGATATCAAATAACCAGCCACTATTCGTCCCACAAATCTTTAATTTCCTGGTATCGTAGACTTTACAAGGATCTAGGGGAAAAAAAATTTAAAAAATAAAAAAAGGCACGTGGTTGACACCTTGCAGTGCTAAGGAAGAAAACCGTATGAACATCCAAGAATTGCCAAATTTTCTCTTTGAAGAAACGAATTTTTGAGTAAAGTTTTAAACATTTTCCCTTGAGATTGCCGGACACTTCAGATGAAATGACGAACAGAATTTTCTATAAAACTGGAGGAAAAATATAATTGAAATTTCCGGAAAATTCGTGATTTGTCAAAGGAAATTTGGCAACGTCTGAAGGCTCATACGGCGTTTTTCGTTAGCACGGCAGTATTGCGCCTCAAGATTTTCAATTCAGGCAACCGAACACTTCTTTCATAAAACTGCTAACATTGCATAGTGTCAACGATTATAGTGTCAACAAACCTAGAATCTGATCGTGGCAGAGTCAACGATTGTGCACGTCGTGCTCAGGTAATGAAAATTCAAAATGGGCCCTGAGCGTGGTGTCAATCATCGCCACCAAGATAGTTGACACGATGCTATACGTAATCGCACAGAAAAAAGTGAACTTTGGGTAAAAATGAAAAGCTTTACCTGTTTAGTAGCACCTTTCTTCATAATTTTAACGTATTTTAAATGATCAGTGGTAATGAGTATCATATCGACGGTGTAAGTCGGCAATCACATATCTCGTTTGCGGTGTCTGAAAATCTAGACCTCTATGTTATTTTTTTGAAGGAGAACCAATTGACGTCATTCCTTGAAGTTCATGCAGAATTTTCGTCGCACAGAGAAGAAAAATCACGGCAGTTTTAAAGAATTGCCGTTGAGTAGTTTTCCGGTTAAAAAATAAAGTATGAAGAAAAAATAAAGTAATGAAGAAAAAATAAAGTATAAAGACTGGAAGTCAGCGATGTGGCAAACCGAGTTAAGTGATTGCCGACTTACTCCGTTGATATGCAATTATTTGTCATCATCGAAAGTTATTTGAGAGATGTCATTACTGTGAATAGAAATACTGTAAAACGGACGAGTCTTATAATTGGCACACTTTTCAGTCTTGACTGACTATTAATACAAAGCATGTCAAAGGTGGGAAGTTGTCCAGATCAACTTTTGTCGGGGATATCAAATTTTTACGAGCACGATGAAAACGGCACTGTGAAAATTGGTGGGACGAAAAATGAGAGGTCTCTGAAAACTCGAAGCATTAAAGTTTCGAAGCAATCGAAGCATCGAAGTTTGCAAAAAAAGCTGAAAAGCTTTCTGCTTTTGAAAAGCTTGGCGATATCTGTATTTCAAAAAGTTCAAAAGTTAAATCCTACTTTCGTGGCAGCCACTGCTGAGATTTTTTTAAAATAAATTGTAATATTAAGGAGAGGGTTCAAGTCACGTATAAAGGCTTCATATTTTGGAATAAGGAAACATTTCCCCCGCACATTTCTCCAAAAAAATTATTGATATTCAAGTGATTATATTGTAATTTTTAGTCAACGAGGGCATCATTTTAAACTTAGGTATATGTTCATTTCCACGTGATCATGCAAATTTTCATGTGGATAGAGATGCTTTTTTTGCGTAAATGTTTCTGTGTCTGCTATCTAACGTTCACCTCGATCTGTTTTCAGACTCTATGAAGAGTGATTACTATGTGAATGACAGTATAGACCCCGCCCACATGATCTTACCTCCACCAGCCTACATTGACCCCGTTTACTTTCTTAATGGTAAGTTCTTTTAATTCTAATACTTAATCATAGACATTCACGGCTTAAATTTTTAAGTCATTTTTTGCCATGTATGACAGGAAGTCTGCAACGCCACAAAGGGAGACACGTGGTTTCGTATATTGGCCATGATCGATACATCAAAATTTTTAAATTGGTATCCGGTCCGTCGATCCATAGCAGTTCAAGCTTTCCGCAATCCTATCATCCCGTTTCGTTGCAAAGGAACGACTCCAATACGTAAAATATTTTTCCTTTACATCGAATACAGCTTGCTCGTCTTGGAGCGGTCGGAAGATTCTTTTCCGCTTTGAAAGCGAAATGAGTTCTCTGCTGCACTTCTTCTTTCATCCTTTCCCGTCGTGACATCACGTCATCCCTCTGACGTAGAGGCGTAACTCGATTTTCGCATGAGCCCCAGAGAGCATGGTTCAATATGTAAAACAGGGCTCACGTGGAGATTGAGATAAGCGCTTACGCCAGAGGGACGACGATACCTCCTGCACCTCGTGTAATAACAATTTATCACGGTCCCAGGCCCCGGGAGCTTCGTTCCACTCAGTGTCCACAATACTGCCGTGCTAAGGAAAAACGCCGTATGAACTTTCAGACGTTGCCAAATTTTCTCTCACAAAATTAAATATTTCAGGAAAATCCGCAAGTATTATTCCTTCGATTTTTCAGAGAATATAATTAGTATAATCGGACCTAAATCATTGGAAAATTTCAACAGCAAATATTCATAATCTTCTTTGGAAAGAATCATTATATTGGCGGGAATTTGGCAAAATTAGAATGTTCATACGGCGTTTTTCTTTAGCACGGCAGAAACCTCTGTAGCCGGTGAAATGTGCATGAGGGAGCGGAGTAATGTCCGAGGTCCCAAAAATAAATGATCCCTTTTATTTTCGGAACGCCGTCCATCTTATTAGATGTAGGAGTTGTATACTCGTTATTTTGACATAAGATGAACTCACCCTACAAAATTTACATATTGATACAGAATTTACATATTGATGTTATGTATAACCCACTGCCCCTATTTCCCGGAAATGCCGAATTCAAGAGCTTTGGATTTTCCTGAATTTTTCCCGAAACTTTTGAAATTCCCGAAATTTTCCGGATCTTTTGCATTTGCCGGAACTTTCTTGGAACTTTCGAAAAAATTTAAAAAGAATCTCGGAACTCTTGACGGTCTCGGAGTGGGAGAAATTGGAACAAAAAAGTTCCGAATCCCGCGAACTTCTGACGGACATAACCACAAAATCAACAAATCAGGCTTGGAGCCAAATTCATAGGCAGATAATCGGCCTCATCGTAATTTGGGTACTCTGTGGCTTAATCAATTTTATGACTGAAGAGTCACAGACGATTCCAGGGATCTTGGGCATGATTATCTCACTTTCATACAGGAGCCTCGAAATTAGGCTACTACCAACAGATAGCTCAAAGTAAAATCCCCTTCACAAATCGTCACTCCGGCGGAAAAAAAACGGAGGCAATCAAATATGTTGATGGACTCCGTTGGGCATTTATTCCCATACTGTTTACCGTTCAAACTGAATGGAGTTATGCTTTTATGCGAGTATAGAGTGGAGAGCCTCGAAGTATGTATACTCACAGCGGAACCTCTCGAAATGATCGCATCGCTCGTATGAAGAAAAGCGTATCTTGTTTGCCTACCGACTGTGGGAACTATGTAAACATCACAATCTAAATATTATTCCCCTCTTCTCCTTGGCGCTTCTCGACGTGGGATGTACTACGAACCGGAGAACGCTCACTTCCGACGGACTTCCTTCTCGTTTGAAGATGCTTTCCGCTCACGGGCGGATTATGGATCCGAAATCCTATTTTTTATCGCGGAATCGGTAGAAAGTGTCTCGTGCTCTGCGCAGAGATTCCATGGACAGATGACGAAAAGGAGCTGTGTATTTTACACATAGAGCACTGGGAAAAAATTCGCTTGGATCTAGAGCCCAGACTCTTAAAAACTTTGACAAGAAAAAGTACGCTTGATCCAATCAGACTTTTTGCTTGAATCCAAAGGAAATGCGCCTAAAACAAGAGGCTCGGCTTTTCGATTCAAGGAAAAATCGGATTGAATCAAGAATATTTTTCTTGACGATGTTATTAAAAGTCTGGACTCTAGATCCAGGTGACTTTTTTTTTCAGTGAGGGTTACAGAAATGTATAAAAATTACGATATCGTTGGAATTTTTGTCTTCTTTCCTAGCCAATTTCTTAATGTGACCCTAAATGGTAAGCCCCTTAAATAATATACTTGAACGGCATGCCCTTCTTGTGAAAGGCGCTTTTTTTCCGCAAAAACTGCAGGCGCAACGGTCCAATTGGACATATTTCTGCCAAACGGAACAATGTGCACTATGTCGTGAGCCTTGTTACGCATATATTCCTATGGGTCTCAGGGCTCATGCCTTAAGGCACATAATTCCGTTTGGCAGAAACACGTCCAATTCCGAAAAATCCCGGGCCAGAAGTTCCCGAGCCGAAGCTTTGATGAGGCGACCGGGATCGGGAGATGGCGAGATCTTTGCCAAACTTGAATAATTAATCGGGCTCAATGTCGTTGGTTAACCGACCCCCCCTGCCCCCTCCCCGTGGCGGCCGTCGCGCCGCGCCGGGTTGGTGACGCAAGCTTACTCATGCACGTAAGATACGTAAGTACGCGACGCTTGACCCGGGCCCCGAACGGAAAACGAAACATGTCAGAACGGACCTAGGTTGCCGTTTCCGCGGGAAAATAGCCCAGTTTTCACAACTTCTCGCGGGAAGAGCGGTGGCTGCGGCTCTTGCCCTTCGGGCTGAGTATTGAAATTGATAGACAAATCTGTAGACAAAGAAGACAGAGGGGAAATGGAGCGATCCTATTGTTGGAAGCGGGTGGTTGCAATGGACATATCGACAGCGTAAGTCCGCAATCACATATCTCGTTTGCGGTGTCTGAATACCTCCGCCTCTATGTTCTTTTTTTAAAGGAGGACAAATTGACATCATTCCTTGAAGTTTATACAGTATTTCCTTCACATATAGGGAAGAAAAATCACGGCAGTTTTACAGAGTTGCCGTTTAGTAGTTTTCCTTTTAAATAATAAAGTATGACAGGAAGTCTCCGACGGAGCAAACCGAGTTATGTGATTGCCGACTTACACCGTCGATATGAGATAAGTAATAGGCTAGCTAGGGACAACCCACGAGGGATCCTATGGTCCTACGGTTAGTCCATTATTTTGCCCCTCAGCCCATGACAAACGCTTATTTTAACCAAAGGCTTGACCCATTCTCCATTTGTCTCTTTTGTCTATCGCTTTGTCTATCAATTTCAAAAATCATGTCGAATTCAAATGTTGAATTTTTGTCGAGCGCGACCGACCTTCTTGGCAAAGACGGCAAGCTTGCATAGACCTGACGAGGGTGATCGTAGTCAGTCGTCCTGATGCACTATGCATGGTGTCCCTAACATCTGGTCCACCCCCAGCCCCACTGACGTTGCCGTTTGAAAAAAATAAGGGTCCCACAGATTTCAAAGAGGGCCCCCGAAGAAAACCTTCATTAATTCATGGACTTCCCCATCAAAGTTTCATTTCAAAATATGAATGAATAATTTCAGAGAGGGTGGACCAGACTATTGGGATACTCTGTATACTTTCTTCCTTCATCTCGTGTTTAATTAAACATTTGAAATCCTCGGACTATTGGCAGCCCTGCTCTACTCTGTCCATGTGTTGGAGTCACGCCGCGCTCGGTTCCGTGCAAAACGTTGTCCGCACCAAAACCCCGCGAAATATTTCCCGCGCGGATCTCCGCAGACGACACAACTTACGACTGGTCACGCCTTTCACTACACTAACACTAACAGCCTGAAAGTTCGCAAACTGTGCTTACCGTATTTTCGTCGCTCTTTGGATGCTCCACACTGCCGTACTGGGGAAAAACGCCGTATAAGCCTTCAGACGTTGTCAGTTTTCGTCTGATGAAATACGAATTTTCAGAGAAACTTGTGGATATTTTTCGCTCAATTTTTCACAGAATTTGATGAGTCGTTCCACTGGTCTCAGAATTGGATAATTCTTATAATTTTTTAACTGATCTGTAAGAATCAAGCATCAAAACACGATTCTTTAACCAGCGCAACTGACCCATTCGCAAGTCAACCCACAGTATCTGAAAATTTAAGGCAAAATATTCACATATTTCCTCTAAAATACATATTTCATGGAGGAAAATTTGGCAACACTCAAATGTTCTTATGGCGTTTTTCCTTAGCACGGCAGTGCAGCACAGGATGACCGAATGACGCGTTTCATCCCGATGTGCCTCATATCTTGTGTACGCTGTTAAAAGCTAATCTCTTCTAAACGCAACGGTGTGTTTAGAGGACCGCGTTTAACGGAAACCCACAGGGCCAGATTTACCGCAGTAGGCGCGCGCTTAGGGTCCAACACCACAAAGTTTTTTTTTCTTCCCTTCTTGCATATCCGGATCCAAGGGGAGGGCGTAGGAGGCGTACGCCCCCCCTCCTCCTTCCGTTCGCCCCAAAAAAGAGGAAGAAAAAAAAACGGAGGAAAGAAGAAGGAAGGACACTTATGTTTACTAATTATTCATGACGAAATTGACTTAAACTGAATATTAGTTGTTTTAAAATTTCAACAATTTTCTGGGGAAACCCTCCAAACCCCCCGCCCTCCACCCGTCTTCCGTTCGAAGTTTCTGGATCCACCCACACCTTCTTGACAATGCCTATTTTCATTTACAAAAATGTCTTAGAGTTCCACCTATTCTCTCGGATGGAGGTTAAATTGATTTTTCCTGTGCAATACTTTAGTTACTCGGTGTGTTGCTCCCTAAGATGCAATTGCGAAAATTATCAGATAGCCCATTTTTTCACTCGATGGCCCTCCCAATAAATTATGTAACATTAAGTTAACCCAATTTGTTGTGTTTTTCCAACAAAACGTGCCACAAGAATATTTTTCTCGCCAGAAGGTTATATAATTTTTATTACTAATTTGGTTTATTACGTAATGGTGAATTTTGGCACACCCTTTCCCCCGGTAACGCACAGTGACGTGAACTTAGAGCCTCCTTCCTTTCGAGATTTGTTACGTAACACTTGAAAGCTTGCAAAGATGTGTGCTTCTGAGATGACTTCGTGAACTTGCTCACTTTACAGACGCATCAATGAACCCAGGGTCGGTGCTTGTTTTCTGACTGAACATTTAGAGGAAGCAGAATTCACACTCACAATCAGAGGGTTTGGACGTCACCGAAAAAAAAGTGAAGTTTATTTAACATTGTGGATGTAAAGAAAGTGTGCGAGAACTTGTATAATGGTGAATTATCCGTTTACAGCAGTTACCTCAGCAATGCCAAGATGTATAACTAACTGCTGTGGCGGATAATTCAGCATTTTATAAGTTCTCGCACACTTTTTTACACCAAGAATGTAAAATTAACCTCACTTTTTTTTGAAGTATCGTTTTTGCGCCTTTAATTTTTGAAGTAGTCCAGAAAACGTATTACGTATTCTAGCAATGATGCACTGAAAAAAAATTCTCGGCGTTTCTACCACGGTCCGTTGGTACCTTTACCATCTCACTTTTTTACCGATTATTGGTAATTTTACCAAGACAGACTGGTAAGCTTACCTAAAAACCGGTATTTTTATTGTTTTTTTCAGGTAATAGTACCACTTTCATTGGTAATCAATTCCCGGTAACTTTGCCATTTTATCTCGGCAATTCTACCACAGTCGATAAAAAAATATTGGCGTTTTTACCAAGGTCCAGTAAAATTACCGAGAAAGTTCAATAATTTTACCGAGATTTCTCGGTAAAATTACCAATTCCATAAATGGTAATTTTACCAAGAAAAAACTGGGATCAAATAGAACCCTGAACTCTTGGTAATTTTACCCTTTTCTTAGTAAATACACCAAGATTTTTTTTTTCAGTGTGATTGATTATGCCTATTGTTACGCAGAAGTCCATGTGGGCTATATTACTAATTTAGTATTTATTTTAATCATACATTTTTTTAAATAAATAATTTTTGTTTTGATCTGTTTTTCGCAGGTAGCGGATACGAGGTGTATGATCCGTACACGGGGAGTGTAACCGTGGTGGTGGGACCCCCCGCACCTCCATTCCCGCCCGGCGGGCACCCCTACCTCACGCCCATCCCTTACCAACATGTGCCCATGCAACCGCCCTTAGAATGGTTTAGTCCGCAGGCTCCACCCCAGCAGTGGGCCCAACCTTCGTCCTATAACTATAGGAAACGGTTTTCCTTCGATTCACAGGTAAGTTTTCCTCCTGGGGAATTTTGTATTGTAAAAAATTGGATTTTCCGGTAATTGATTTTTAAAATATTTTTTCAAAGAAAATCCCCGAAAATTTAATTAAATTTGAGTGCATTACTCGATACTGTTTTACAAAATTTGACGGAGAAATGCCTTGAAATAACTCGAAGTGGAAATCAAAAGACAGTAAGATAACTTAGATGTCTAAAAGTATGACCACATTTTGTGCATGAACAAAAATGTTTTAAAATCCGATCTATGTATCTATAGACTGTTGAATCGTTCGTCAAAACTATTATAAACCCTTCCCAACATAAGAAACCAATGTTTAACTAAAATCTGTTAAATGTCACCCTGTATAATCATCGTGTTTCTCGCGAACTTTCACGTAAGAATCAACAGTCAAATCATAAATTCCTCGCACATGCAACATCTCCATTCTTGAAAACTTCCGTAATTTTTCCTCTTCGTGTGGAGATTAAATATGTGAAAATTGTGAGGAATGATATTAATTTGATCTTCAAAAAAATAAAATGTGAGTGGAGATTTTTAAACACCGCGAACGAGATACGTGGTCTGGTAGTTCCACCGTCGATATATTTTTTGCGAGAGGTGAGACCGATGTAAAAAAGTTCCGACAAGTCTGGAAGACGATTACGAACATCATCATCGTCGCGGAGCTCAAATGAAGCGTCCATAATCGCATCAAAGTCGGAGAGAAAACTTCCAAATCCTCGCGGAAGAATTCCGAGCTTACACGAAGAACAGCGCCCGAAGTGGGACGAGAGTGGCGGATCTCCGCGTGTATCATCGATCTAAATTCAGCCTGAACTTTGGGAAGTTGAAAAGAGTGGTTGAACGGGGCTTAGACTAGGCGAGTAAATATTCGATCGAAGTGCCATACCGCATTCGAACGGACCGCTGCCTTGCCAAGGAAAAACGCCGTATGAGCCTTCATACGTTGCCAAATTTCTCCCGGAAAATATATTTATTTATGAGGAAAATTATCCATATTTATCTTGAAATTTTCAGATGTTTCAGATTAAATTGCAAACAAAGTCGTTTGAAAAATGTGGGGGGAAATATGCCCAATAATCCCTGGAATTTTGATTTTTTATTGAGGGGAATATGGCAACGTGTGATGGGTCATACGGCGTTTATCCTTAGCCCGGCGGTGTTTAATCGTGGGAGTGGGTGAATTTTTGTATGCGCCTCGATAGCCCATCTTTTTTCCGCTCTGCGGTTCACGTGATATCTCATCCACACCGACACAACAACGCGCGCCAAAAACAATTAAATAAGCCGATCCAGGGTTGTCGGTTATCGCAAATAGTGGAACATTTAGACAGGGTACGAAATTAAGCACGACGATATGTGTTTTTGTATCGGAGTTTTACGTAAAATACGATGGATACATTGAAACTTTCCAAAATTCAATCCAAAAAGTTAGAAAATAATGTTTTTAATCTACGTTCTCTCGCACTTTCCGCTCACGTACAATCAAGCTCTAAACTGATTTCGATGTATGTTACGATGTAAGAATTTTTCTGCGTTCTAACTTTTTCTTTACTGAATCAAAGATACTCGTATCTTGCACGTGTCCGAAGATGCAAGAAATGTTTGAATAGCAGAAGTCTAGTTATTTGCCTAACATATGGTTGAATTTAATGCCTATTTGCGAGGATTGGAGGACAAAACGCATGGGTGCAGTTTTTGAAAAAAAAACTGGGATATGACTGATTTCAATAAAACTAGTCCTAATATATATTCCGTCGAAAATTCGCTCCCAAATTCCAATTTTTAAGCATCAAAAAGTCAGTTTGAACTTTCTTCCCGCCAGAAGGATCCATCTAATTTCGAAACTCCGAACACACATTTCTCGAAATGGCAAAAACTGCACTTATGCGCCTTGTCCTTTAAGCCCCTCATATTTGGCCTACGTTGACTGTGGTTTTTTCCTCGCAAGCGGGGCGGGGATTTTACTGTCTGTAATGTAAACAATGAAAGTTGATGTCTTTTTGATGAGTTGATTCTGGAAGTTTTCGATATATTCTAAAATTATGATGAGGAACTATAGGGCTGCCATGATGGGATTACGTTAATACTCCTCTACCTCTTTACTGAATTCCGAACGGAAATTTGGAGGAAACAGTGGTCTGATTATTGAAATTGATAGACAAAGGGGTATACAAAGAGGACATAGGTAGTATGGCGCGATCCTATTGATTGAGATGGGTGTGGTAATTTTTATAACCTAAGAGGGAAAATGATGGCTAACTGAAGGGTCTCTTGTTGGTTGTTGCTAGTTAGTACATTACTTACCTCCTTTGTCCATTGATACCACTCGCTTCCACCCGCAAAAGGATCGCCCCATTTTCCCTCTATCTTTTATGTCTATCGCTCTGCCTATCAATTTCAATACTCAGCCAGCAGAATGGTCATTTGCCACGAAAAGAATACCGCAGTTACGTGCATTGTTGTTGCGCCCACAATTTTCGAGGTAGGCCAAACAACATCCGTCGTGCAGTATTGGTTAGCCATCCAAGGATTCGTTTATCAAAAGTCCGAGAAGCATTTTTTCCACAAGAGAGGGGTACGAAAATGACGCTTTTTGTTATTTTACCTTCACTTTTTAACGAAGGCTAAAAACCATCCTCCGTGTGGTAGTTGTCTGGTCAAAAAGTAATCTTTGTAAAAATGTCTAAAATCACTTAACAGGAAATAAAATTAAAATGCGAATAAAAATATCGACAAAATTTTTATTTAAGTATAAGCATAGTTCACTCTCTTTCTTTGGGGAAGCGGACTTCTTTAGCGTGCATGCAGAAAATAGCACTGCTCATTTCAGTGGTTCAATCCCGCAGATAAGCAGACAATGAGAATATCTGTACGAATGCCAATTTTATACGTTCAATGAATGGAATTATCGCACTTTGACAAGTTGCCTGCCATGTGAGACACACGGGCCCGACAATTATGTGTCTCCGTCGGGCTTATTGGGCCGTCACTAGCCAACTGACGTCACGAATTGACGTCATATAACACAATAACTAAACGGCAAACTAACGGTGATCGTGTCCAAACAGTGCGTTTAGGTGCTTCGTCCAACTGACGTCAAATTAATGGTGACAGAGTCCAAATTTTGGATTAAAATTTTGTATAGTGTTTAGAGCTTTTACAATCGTTCACCCATGCAAAAGTTCTGTTTTTGCGAATTTTTCCTGGGTTACGGGAAAAAAGACACAGAACATTCATCAGCACCCCACATGTCTAAAATTATGAAGTCACCCACTTACTGTAATAGCGCACACCTGTATTGTTTTTCCCGCCAAAATATTTTTTTCTCTAAAATGCTTGAGTGTGCGACTGTGACAATGTGTGATCGCTTTTGCTTAATCTTAGGTGGAAAAAAACAATGATAGGTGGTAATTATTCATCAACTATTTTTCCTTTTTTTTCGAACATTGATACGTTCTTCATTAATTTTGGACACAGAAATTTGGCTCTTGAAGAGATCTTAAGTTTGGCTAATCTGTGAGGCTTACCCTTAGGAGCAGAATTCTTTAATTAGCATATTGGACATGCTTTTTTAGTGTTCTACATGCGAGATATGTAGCAAACTTCGAATTACAGTGATACTTCAATGAAGGATAGTAAGTTTCCAGTTGCAAAGAAAAATAGTGTCGTATTGAAAGAAATGAAGTCGTTTTTCTAAACCTCAACAACAATTCGTTACTGTCCTTAGGCTTGGGTCAGACAAAGGTATACGCACCTTGAAACCTCAAATTCGGGAAAATTCAAAGAATTGAAGTAACCTGGAAATATTACTGAAGGATTGCGAGAATATTAGGGAGCACAGGGAGATTTTAAAGCAAAATCAGGGAATAGCGGAGGAAAGCTTCCTCGCAACAATATTCCACTTGACGAGGCGTGAACGATTCATTATCGATATTTCCCCATTTTAAGCTATGATATGAAATCGATTATTATAGGGTGTCGGTCGCGAACACCCTGTTTATCGATCCTTTTCCATAAGTTTAAATGGCAGATCCAGCGATATATCGCAGAGCACGCCACTGCAATATACGACCTATGCATTCAGTAGAAAAAAAAATACCAGCCACCTCTAACTGCGTACTTTCTGCAGGGCCGGATTCACCGACTGGCGCAATGCGTGAAGTATTCACGCAGTCTTGTAGGCGCTATGCGTTTCACGCTTACCGCACTGTGTTTGGCGCAATGCGTGAAGTATTCATGCATTCTTGTAGGCGCTATCCATTTCACGCTGACCGCAATGACCGCACTGTGTTTGATGCAATGCGTGAAGGTATTCGTGCAGTCATGTAGGCGCTAATATGTGTTACATGCCGATCGCCGCGCCGAGGGCTTCTCCTTTTCATCTCAAGTCCTCGTCATCATTTTCCTCTATAAGTCGCGCCGTTTTGCGGCCGAATTGCGTGTTTGGTTTCTCTCTTAACTCGACTAATTAAAGGTGCTGTCTCTTGTATCACTCAGAGACGACAAAATTAGAAATTACCATACTCTCAGGAAATGAGATATTCTGTCGCCTTTTCTCGTTTGTAATTTTTTTTCTAAATCCGATTTTTTTTACCTACACAAAAAAAATTGCAAATTTTTGCCGCCCGTTAGATTTGCCGCCATGGGCCGCGGCCCATGTGGCCACCCCCTTAATCCGGCCCTGAAATTTTTCAAAATTCCAGAAAATTTTTCTGATTTAGGCATTTTAACCATATCATTCAATGTAATCAGATAAGGACGAACTAAATATTTCCCGGCAAAACTGACCCTAAATGTCCATGACATTATACTCATTTACAAGGCCATCGGGAGAACTATTTCTCTACTGAAAGGCAAATCGGGGACCGTGAAACTAATGAATTCGCTCACCCAACTTGGGCAACTCTGTCTGGATCTGAAAGAGACGTAATTTTCATTTATGTCCTCTGCTCCCACCGGCTCGCACCGAGACTAATCAATTTTTATATCCCCGTCCCGAATATTCTGTGCGAATGAGTACTCAACTGTTCACATACACCGACGATGATACGGAAAAGGGTGAATCGTTTGCTTCCTAATGAACATTTTCAGAGCCATGCCAGCTCGGCGTGGCGCGTTGGTTTTATAAAACAGCACTGCCTTGCTAAGGAAGAACACCGTATAAGCCTTCAGGCGTTGCCATATCTCCTTCAATAAACAACAAATTTACCGGGAAAATTGTTAACATTTTTCTTAAAAATTTTTAGACAATTTTGCTCGCAATTCAATCTAATATATCTGAAAATTTCAATGGGAAATAAGTGTAACTTTCCTCAAAAATATACGCATTTCATTTGGAGAAATTTGGCAACGGTAGAATGTTTATACGGCGTTTTTCCTCAGCGCGGAAGAGCACTCGTTCTCCGATGAGAGGACAAATAAAAGGTTAATTTTACGCCACTTCTATGTAGAGTGGTTGGACATCAGTCTCAAAGCCTCTCAGATGAGTCATTTCAGAATACTGACCGGTGGCTCGGCGTGCCTTGTGATGTATCGATTGCTCTGCCTTTTAAACCTATGGAAAAGGATCGATAAAGAGGGTGTTCGCAACGAACACCCTAGTAATCGATTTATACTATAGCTTCAAATGGAAGAATATCGATAGTTGATCATTCACGCTTAGCCACTGATACTGACCGAATGTACGCTTTTTCTATGCAGTGAGGTGGGTAAAATGATACTTTTTGTGTAGACGGAGAAGGGCTAGGGCTGTGTGTGTGTACAGGTATCCTCCCTGTGCGTTGGATGCGATTTTTTGAGAAATTTAATTACTAACTCATCAGGCATACCTCGTCGGTACTCTTCAGGTTAAGATTATTGGTACGCCGTTTTTGGGTACTTATAATTTAAGACTTAGAAGATTAAATATTAGAAATGCCTTTGTCTTCATTAGTAGTATAAATATCAATCCCCTAATGCAATGTAAAGCCGTTTTCCCCGAATATCTCAAAATCACAAAAAAGAATTACGTGCTCTTTTGTGGGTGCAGGCTGCAGTTCAGAAAAATGCCTCATCTGTGCCTGCCGGACATATTATCTTTATTCAAAAAGCCGTTGAACATTTGGCGAGAAATCAGCATCCTCATGCCAATATATTTTTCTAACTTAAGAATTTATCTAAGTTGCTAGATTTGGGTAATATGAACCTGTCAGATTCAAACCGATGAAATGGTCAAACTTTAAATGTTGAAACCTCTAAGGTTCGGATTTTTGCAATGCTGATGTTACCATAATGCTACATGGATATTCGGTTTTTGTGTCTAAAATTGGTTGCGTATCAGACACATTTCCATTGTATTTTTCTCTTCTCGGCAAATCAATCGCGAAATTCATTAAAATTCCTCTACGCGCGTAGCACCGTTGAGTGAGGAGCGGGAAACTCCTAAACATTGCTTCAAGATGTATCTGCACCGCCTGAAAAGTACGTAACTGTTTCGACTTAGTTGTGGCTTTATTTGCATATCCATTAATTTGAAGGAGATGCTTCGGTTAGCAGAACGCTCACGCAGCTCTTTCTCATGCGTACTAAATAACCACATCAAGCATCGAGATTATAGAGTAGAGCTGTTCTGCCGTGTTAAGGAAAACCGTCGTATGAGTATTCAGACGTTGCTAAACGTCCTGCAATAAAATATTAATTTTTGAAAAAGTCAGAAATAATTCTTCCTGGCAATTTCAGATACGTTAGATCAAACTGTAAATTAAAATCTCTGAAATACTCATCAAAGAAAGAACCAGCAAGAGAAAGTGTCTTAAGTTTTCTTGAGAATTCGATTTTTTTTCTGAAGTAATGTGGCAACAACTGAAGGTTCATACGGCGCTCTTCTTTAGGACGGCAGTATTCACGGCATATATCCTCGCCTCAGTGTCTTCCTTACACCACGCGGGATGCTCAATTTATCTAACACAGTAAACTTCTTTGCGTCTCAATTTTAATGCTTTTTGCTTCATTGTTGGATCTCGCGATCTAACTGAAAGCCAAAATACGCAAGCTACAAACTGTTAATTGCGTGTCGTGGACATTTAGAGGTAATAAATTAGCCTAGCTAGACCATATTTACTGCTAAAATATGCACCCCGAAAGTCTTGTACCACGGCAGCGCTGCGTAAACAATTCAACTTGAAACGCATAAAGTTTTGTGTGTTTCGACCATTTGCTTTACGGCCGACATGCTATTTATCTAAGAAGTCTAGTTACTCCACGATCACTACCGTGTAATACGGACTTATAATTTAAATTGATCATATTGACACGTTATTTTTCCTTCCGTTTTAGTTGTGTAATCGTTTGCATAGCGATAATGAGACTGCAAAAAATGCCATATCTCAGTTTGCAACGCTCCAAACTTTATGATGTCTTTTATTTATCGCAAGCGAAAAAACCGGTTCCAACTAGTGCATTTTTAATCATTTTTCTTTGCGTACCTAAAAATTCAATTTAATAATATTTTTGTTTTCTTTGAGGAAAATTAAGCACGATTAAGAATTTTGAAGACCACAATTGAAGTACGCGTTTCTCTAGAGATTTACTATCCATGAATATGTTAAGTTTGCTTCTTTGCAGGCGCTCAGCCAAATTCATATATTTATTTTGAGCATCGTATAATAATTTCCTCCACGTCCCTTATTGTTCGAGAAAATCTCAGAATATTCACTTTTCTCAATTATCTTATCGAGATAGAATTAATCTATGGCTCAAACGGTGCTGCGGATGAATCGCCTTTTCGATATTCGATATTTTCGATGTCGGTATTCGATACTTCGCAATTCGATAAAGAAGGAAAGAGAGGAGGTGGAGGTACCAGAGAAAATTGTCAAAGACTATTATCTTGGTTTTAAAGCCAGGCATCCTGTCCCGGAAGCTGGATCAGTTCCCGCAGTGGCGTGGCGTGAATTGCGATGTATCGATTGTTGTGCCATTTAAATCTATGGCAAAGAATCGATTGTGAAGGTGTTCGCTGCGAACACCCTGTTTATCGATCCTTTTCCATAGGTTTAAATGGCATAACAATCGATATATCGCAATTCACGCCACGCCACTGGTTCCCAGCAAAAATTGCAGAACATTTCAACGTACCTCCATTTAATTGGTCAGACTAGATGATCCTCTGATAATGCTCAGGTTGCTTATCATTTCGGTCACGTCCGCCTTTGATCAATTGTTATTTCATTTCGAATTGACTCTCTCCCTCTTTCGAGTGTTCGAATTCTTTGCTAGCGTCTCTAAACTTCCAAAGATCTTCTCCGTAGAGTTTTCTCGTTTTAAGTGCGTTGTAAGCGGTATCAGTATTAGGACTTGTGTGGAAGTTTTATGAAAATTTTAGCTTCAAAAAATCGTGAATTTGTTGAGAAAACTAAGTTTCTTTTGTATTGAAAAAACGGACATTTTGAAAGTCAAATCATAACAATTCGAGTCTTGTAAACATGATGCACCGACAGCAAATGATCAAGCAGAGGAGACACAAAAATAAACAAAAAACTCCGGAAGGGAAATTGAAGTCTGTGTTAAAGAAGGTATTTTTAGGACATTAAATCAACTTTGAATTTTAATCCTGATGGATTTCTTTTTTATTCTTCTTTTTTAATCAATATCCACCTATAAATCATGGAGATATCGTCTAAATTATACGTAACGGACTTTAAAAGCTAAATCTGAGTTTTAATCCTAGCTTCTTACTTCTTAGACCATGACCATTCGCTAGTATGAGAAGCGCCTTGAAGTGTAAGGGGCAACCATGAATACGGCTTTCAAAAAAACTGAAATTCATGAGTCACACTTTATAATGTTTACTTTTGACTTGTAGCTTTTTTAGAATGAGTGTTCATCATGAGATTGGTATACATTTAACGACTGTTTTAAATGTTGTATTGACGTTGTTACTGTTGTAAATGTTGTATTGACGTTGTCGCTGTTTGAATGTTGCAGAATTGCAGTGCACAAAGCTCGGAATCTACGGGGCCCCCGAGCAGTCCTCAGGAAACGGAGCTTATCGATGATTCCGGCATGGCTAGTCAGTACCAATATTCCGGTTACATGTATCCTCCGTATCACATCAACGGTAAGATTAAACAATTTTCTACATCTCATCGAGAACTTCTGAAGTAAGCGTCGCACACTGGATCCAGTCTATCAGAGAAGTCGGACATGAAATTTTTTACTAAAACTGCAAAATATGATGTTTAATTTGTCAAATTTTACATTTCAAGGAGTGCTTCGAGAAGAAAATTACACGAGGGAACCATTGGAACCACTTTTAGAACCTGGAAATTTTGTATAAACGGAGTTATAAGCTTTTAAAGTTTCTAAATTTGTCCGACTTCTCCTATTAACTTGGTCCCGTGTGCGTCGCGTTTATTAATAGGGATCGATTTTCCATTACATCGAGGAGAGGCATACAGCCGTGAAAGGTCGTTAAAGTCAGAATTTCTCAAGATCTAATCTTTGAAGCTGTTCGGCTTTCCTTCGACAATTCTCCATTGATATCGAGCAGAAGACCGTATGTAAAATATTTAGTTTCAACATTGACTCCACCAGGCATTAAAACTCCGTAAAAAATATATTGTTTGAGGCGCTAATTAACAGCAGCAGAAACCACCCTGAATTTGGGTGTTGGAGTTTTTTAGCCCAAATTGTTTTGCGTAAACCCCTGAATTTGTTCGTTGGCTTTTACTGCCGGTTGCCTCACCAAAAGGCTAACCGTAACAAACTCATAAGAAATTGTGGCGAAAAAGAACGAACATGATGAAACTACTAATGAAAATAACTTGTTTGGCTGACCGCTCTCCCGCGCATGTCTAGTTTTTATCCTGGGGATAGAAGAAAGTTAAACGTATCAGTAAAATTTGTGAAAGTATTGAGGTCCGGAAGAAAATTGTAAAATATTATTTTCTACGGATTTTCAATTTTATATATATATATATATATATATATATATATATAGAGTCGCTTTATAACGCACTCTGGCGTTCTACGACACCCAAACGCCACATATGCCTGTCTTCCCAGAGGTTATCGGGCAACTGACACCGCAACATCTCTTCGTCAACGCCCTGCCGCCAACCCTTTACGGGACGTCCCCGTAAATATGTCCAAATATGTCCCAATTATGTAAAATATGAAAGAAAATTTTTAAAAAGTCATTCATTTCTAGTGATGTTAAAAGTGGGGAGACGGAACCTCAACATTTTTTTTTTTTTTTTTTTTCATATTCTGTTCCGGTTTTTTCACGCGTCTACGCTGAAAATATCACACTAACAAGCAACACTGTTATCAAATCCCACATCTATTTTGTCCTCTCTGATAACCTAGTTGTGAAAATGTGACAATCGATCGACAAAAATGATGCCTCATGCCGTGAACCAAAACAGTGTCTTTTAGACAGAATTGTTTTTACTACGGAAGGAAATTTGTTTGAATAAAATTTGACCGTGAACATCCTCAGGTAGTGATGATTTTTGTATGAATGCCAAGCCCTACGCACTTATAAAAATTATTTATCTCATATGAAATACTACTCTTACGGGTTCAAAACGGAAGCTTTCCTAAAGGGTGAGTGTCAGACACTTAAATTCCGATTAACTACTCGAGAACATTTCAAATCTAGGAATAAGAATATCAGGCTACAAGACATCCGCACTTCACTCTGAAATCACTTGCAATGTCAATGGGGCTGTGTCAATATTCAGCTCAATTCACTTCAAACCTATATTTAACACAGACTACCTACTAAAATAGCTTGCTCGTACGACCAGGTTTGGAAATATGTCTCGAGTCTAGTCATGAAAAATTATTCCGTTTTTCGAGGAGTAGAATTGACATGTTACAAATTTCGTAACATGTGATTGAGTCTGAGAGAGTCTCTATCGATCAATTCATTTGGCCGAGACCGAGAGTGGAATATTCCCGTCTGTCGCAACCTGACTAATAATAAAGTAATCTTCCTTCGCTCATGTAACCAATGTCAGCGTGAATTTCGTCCTACGCTTTATGAGGATCGACGATTTTTTCTTAAAAGAATCAGTTCTTTGTTTTAATAAACCTTAAATCGCAAAATTTAGCTTAGCAGCTTTTCACTACTTTAACCAAAGGGAGAACATGTATTACCTTCAATCAAAAGAAACTACTATTAATGTCATATACTTGACAAATTTTGATTCATGTAATTGAATTCCTTTTTACATTTTGAAATCGTCGTTTACGCCAATAACCAATTGACTAATCATCAAATAAGGCTGTATTTTCTAAAAGGAGAAAACTACGTGCATTAGAATTATTGCCGGATACAGAATGGTACCAATTCGATTACAGTGCTCTAAAAATCTTCATATTTATCTAAAAAAATTCCGAGAATGGTAAAAGGTTTTTGTTTATCTTCTAAAAATGTTTTAATTTTAAATGAAAATGATCGTATAAATTGTATTACTGTACATATACGTATTATTTTTTATAGCGAAGAGAAAAATTCACGATTTCGAAAACAATGTAATCGATCTGGTTCCCTTAAAAGAAATTCAGTCGAAGCAGTTTTGGTGGTTCAAAGAACTAGTTTGGGGCCCGTCTACAGGATTGCAAAGTTTGCAGCCCGTACCATATTACATCACAAGAGAACTATAGCGGGATTAAAAGAAATATCGTAAAAAGCCGCAAGAAACTTTGGAGGATGCTAATTGATTTTTCTTTTGATGTACATGAAGCGACAGGGAGTGGAACATACTTAATCAATCATCGTATTTTCATATTGTGTTTGACTTGGAGGCATCAACGTAAAGCCGTAAACAACGACAGTTGGATGGTCGCGAACAAAGCTCCTTCAAATTGCAGGCTAGGCAACACAACTTACCGAACAAAATTTGCGCACTGACGACGATACGGCAGTGGCACTCCGTACTGTCGAGCTACGGGAAAACGTCGTATGAGCCTTCAGACGTTGCTTAATTTTCTTCAACAAAAAAAAAGAAATTACCAGGAAAATTGTGGATATTTTTCTTCAAAATTATCAGAGAATTCTGTCCCCAATTTGACCCACAAAATTCGAAAAATTTCGAGGAAAACATGCATAACTTCCCTCAAAAATACATGTTTTACCGGGGAAATATGGCAATTTTCGCATGCTCATATGGCGTTCTCCCTTAGCACGGCAGTATGCTGCCGTGCTACGCCGAATAACGCCGTATGAACATTCGAGAGTTGCCAAATTTCCTTCGATAAAATGTTAATTACTGAGGAAAGATATTAATATTTTTCCTTGAATTTTTCAGGGGCTTCAGGTGAAATTGCGAACAAAATTATCTGAAAAATTGGAAGGAAAATACTCATAAGTTTACCAGGAAATTCGTGTTTTCTCAAAGGAAATTTGGCAACGCCTGAAGGTTTATACGGCGTTCTCACTTAGTACGGCAGCATAGCACAGCAGCATACGTGGTTTTGAAGGTTAGGCATCGGTGCGAACGTTTGTTCTCCTCACTCCGTGGATTTTGTCTCCGTTTTGAACGTCGCCTGATGGATCGTCCCGCTCAGCTCGATTTCGTCCAGGTCCTTTAATTAACCCCTTCGATCCTCGGCAGCCCCCCCCCCCTCGACGATGCTGCCGTATTAAAATAATGCCACGTGCGTACGTTGCACGCTGCGTGTCACTCAAAATTATCTCGAGAGCCCGCCACCCTCACAATGCCTCGCCCTGCCGCCGCAGGGACGAAATTAGAACTTAAGATGAGCCCTGTTGTCCATATAACTCCAAGCACTCCAGATCCCAAGGGTAAGTGGAGTTACGCTCTTTTATCATATGAGCGACGAATTAATTTGAACCGGTGATGAACGGCGCAAATTTACGCCCTGAAGTTGGCAGTTGTCGGGCGAGTCCAGAAATCACCATTCTCCTGCCACAGGCGAATTTAAGATGGGATCATTCGGTGCCCGGACTGACAACGTCGCGACGGCCTGTCTTCGTTCGCCTAAAGCTCGCGCTTGTTAATTCCTTTTCTCCCTCTTTGCCATGGCGGTGAGCTTCACGCTTTGATTTCGAATAAGTGCAGTGCAAGGCGAGTTTGATATGCTGTCGTGCTAAGAAAGAACGACGAATAAGCGCTCGCATGTTGCCCGAATTCCCTCTCTAGAACGTTTATTTTATTTATATTAAAAAGTTGATTCACCTTTTTTTACATAATTACAGAGGCTGTAGGCAAAACAAATTGAGAAGAAATGTCTCGTAAATATTCGCCTCGAATCTCAGATAATTTTCCTCCTTCTACTGAAGTCCCATCTGGGATAGCCACAAAAGAACTTTTCCTTTCGCAAGTAGATACTACTATTTCTGACTCATTTTACAAACAAGATATAGCAAATGAACTTTCAAATGTGTTGTATCTTGGTAGACCCTGTAAATGATGGGAGGGATGCAGGTTTATCTGATCCCTTCACGTGGCACACGTCGCGTCGTTGTGAGTTTCGTCAAATTGTTGTCACCAGTCAAAAACGCCTTCAATTTCGCGCGACACTTCATCGCTCACACCAGATTTAAAATATGTTCATCATAAATTACCATGTCGTTTAGAATCCTCTGCTCTTAGAACATTCATGAACTAAATCGGTAGTCGGGAGAACCTTTATGGAAACTGTTAGCAAAATTAACATGTGTTATAAGTTTCCCTATGCATATAGGTGCATTTATGGATGAGAATTAAGCAACACAGAAAAAATTCTATGTTGGGTCAATAGAAATTCCAATCAATCACTCCCAGGCGAGAATGATAAGTCTCGTCTCTTCAACAAGAATTCTTCGTGTTTCAAACGGTATCTTTGTTATTTTGAAAGAAACTTATTGTAGCTTTAAAGAGATTTCCGGTTGACTCGACGATAATTTGAATCCGGAAATCATTCATCGTTTCATTGCAAATAATTTGTGCTTTCGTATTGCAGAATTTAGTTGAAATGAAAAGTGGAAATTTAAAATTTGGTATGCACGAATACTGAGCAAAAACGGGTTCTCTTGTTTACCCTGGTAAAAATTGGCGATAAGAGCTGCGTTTCAAAATACCATAGGAATTCTTATAGCCGGCTAAA